ATCCCTTCCTAGCCCATGTTCTTTGGCAGCCCCCCCCCCCCCCCCTTGCTGAACAAGCTTCTGTGGTTTATGAGCCTCAGTTGTAATAATATCTGACTCAGGCAAGGATGAAGAGAGGCAAACCAGCAGTGTCTTTTGCCAAAGGAGTGATTCTGTTCTCTAGGCATGCTGGCTTGTGAGGGAGGGTGCAGTCCTGAAGCCAAACCAATTTAATTCTTATTAAAATGTCTGGTTTTGTGTTTTGTTCCTTTCCTCAGTTTCTAAAGGGTGCCACTGGGGAAATAGGGAAAGGACTTTCATGTTACCAAAACTGGGGAGATGCAAAGCAGATCACACCCAGTAGAGTTTGGGTAGAAGGGGCCCAAATACTGTTCCTTTCTTTCCTTCTCCCTAAAGCATCCAAGGTGATTTTCTTTCACAGTTCAGGTCACCCTGTCAAGGCAAGGAATGACCTTCATAACCTGTATTGTTAATAGTAGCAAAACAAGGTAGAATGAAGGATGAGTCTACATACAAAATTAACAGAGTTGCCCACCAGGCAATTTCCCCAGAACTCTCTCAGCTCCAATAATTACCCTCTTTCCACTAGGAATGTATCACGCCAAACTTTGGTCTTCTTGTTTGTTCGAAACCTGAAATCAAAATAATAATATTTACTTTTGGCATCCATGACGATGTTTGGCTATGCAATTAAAGATGACCGATTTATTTTTTCTCCAAGCAAATTATTTGCTCACAACTTCCCACAATTTTATAAATATGCTCTTCAAAATAGTTTTGTGTGCTGGGAAAGCAATGGTCACTTGCACTTGTTTAGGCACATTTCATTTTCCATCTGGTTCACCATTTAACTCGGGCACTTGCTACCAAATAAGCTTCAAGAAAGTGCTTCAGCTCACCTGTTCCCTGTTTTTTCAAGGTCCAGAAGCTTTAGAATAGATTTGCCATCCATATCTGGAGGTGTATCAAGTCCTGCAATATCCAAAACTGTTGGAGCAAGGTCAATATTCAGCACCATGTGAGATACTCTGCAAATTAACAGGAAAAGTCAGAGCTGTATTATGCACATTAGAAGTAGCATTTTAAATCTTTGTAGAATTTAGTGTCATTTTAGACAAGTGTGGCACCTTAAGACAACAATGTATGCAATGGAAGTTTCAAGCTCCTTCCAAGTTTCCCTTACTGCACTGTGGATTCGGATGAGGCACGCTAATTTCAGGATGTACTAAGTTACGCAATGGGGTGAAGCAGCCGTGCTACTTGAGTCAGCAGACTCATGGCTAAATATTTATATACCCTGTAAAGCCACAGTGAGTGCAATACATCCTCACATGACCCCATTACAGTTTTAGCAGCAAGCAGCAAAATAACTACACTGGGCTATAATAATAATAATAAAAAAGGAACATTCCAGTATATTTCTAGCAAACTTTTGGAAAGAATAAATATTTACAAAGAAACAAAAAGATGTTCTGCTTTGCAATAATCTTGGTGAAAGAAATCAGCCACTGAGAATGACAATCAAATGTGCTTACAAATATTTTACATTAGGTACAACAGCTGTGCTGCAGACATAGGAGAACGTACACTGATCCCGGCTCTACACTTGGACCACGAATAAAGAAAGGAACACGAATGTCAAAGTCATATGGCATTGACTTTCCCTTGACCAGTCCAAACTGTCCAATATGGTAACCATGATCCGCAGTGTAAATAATGTAAGTATTCTCCAGTTCTCCAGTTTCCACTAGCGTATGATACAACTGAAATACGATAAATGGAAAAAATCAGTGCAATGAAATGCTAAACCAATGATCACAAATACACACATAGAAGTTCTTACAAATTTTACATTTAAACAATTCTGTAGGGCTGTGTCACTAATAAACCAATTAAACTCCAGTAACCATCAAACATTCACTATATGCTTCTAGAAGAGATTATACAAATTCAATCAGATATAAAGCAATACTGAAATGAGCATTTTTAGAGCCTGAAGCTTCAAATAAAATGCATGCATTTCATCAGTTGTTTCAAGATTGGAACAAAGCATAGTATTTTGTCCTGATCTTTGAATAAAACTAGTTTATTTCAAGGCTGAAACAGTTGAGCCTTTCAACCATTATGAGAGCGGCAATTGGACATGGGTGCTGAGGATTTCTTTTCTCTTTTTAATTCCAAGCCTACCAATTCAACAGCAGGACTTTGACTTGGCTTGGCTTACATGAAAGGTCCTGGGGCACTTAAGGAAGAGTAGCTCAGTCAATAGCCATTCAGTCTGCTGGTCCAGTGAAAGAGGGGAACTGCTGCAACTGACACCTGCAACAGGATTGCTCCAGCTGGAGCTTGGCAAATACACCAGGCTGCCTGTCTTCAAGGCAACCTCATCCCCATGTTCCCATTCTAGTTTAGTAGGTTGTTGCTTTTTAGGGTGCTATGTTTCAGTTTCAAGGCAGTGAAATTGATTCCCCACTCCTTTCCCTGCTTTTCAGTTATCTCTCACACATACTGTAAAGACACACACTTATATGTTACATAGAACTCTTTCTTTTTGCCTTATTTTTCTTTCACTTTTCCTTTACAGTCCCCCTCAGTTTAAGGCTAGATAGCTAGATCCAGCCTATCTGCCTTATAAAACTCAACTCACGAAAGCCATGACTGGAAGAGGCAGAGGGATAGCTAAAAAGAGATGCTAGTCAGAAAAAAGAGGAAGGCCAAGGTAGAATTTGCTGGTCAAGGGAGGGGAGGAAGCAACTGCACAGAGGCTTGACTTAATAATACACTCTTCGGGTGGCACACCAGCTAGCATCATAATGGAAGAAGCCAATGAACAGCCAGAGACAGGGGCTGCTGACTGCTCATCCAATCAGCAGCTAACAGCTCCCATTAGCAAACTATTGACAGCCACCTGACTATCACTCCCTACCATATGGCCAATGGTGCAGCATGAGTACTGTCCTTCAGATACCAACTCACCTGGTCACACTCAGAGCCAGTCATTGATTCACCTGAGTGAGCCATTCTGGATGAGTCATTGGCCCAGACTGAGAATTGCACACTGGATGTGGCTCATCTGCATAAAGGCAACAACAGCTGAGCACTGGATGGAGACCAATGCAATTCACTTAAGCAATGCATGTTATAGTTTCCCTAGTCACCACATCACCTGGGTTGAAGTGGGATTCAACTAGCTCTGGATGTAGAGGAAAGAAGGAAGAGCTACCACCAAGGCAACAGTCAGATAAAAGGGGCCTGAGTCCAGGCCAAGAATGTAATGTGATTAAATGTCTTAAACAAGCCCTTCCCTAGTTTACATGAACATAAAAGGAAGAAGAAGCAGATGCATTCAGACTTGCAAGATTCTGTTACTACAGCTTTACAATAAAAGTAGTACTGATCTACATGGCATTGGTTTCCTAGTCTAATCTACTTTGAAGAGCTGTCAGTATTCTTCCCACACTTATTATGCATATTTAGTGATGGTGTTGCTGGATCCTGGCTGCTAACCAGCTGGTAAGATAGGATGCCCTGGCTCTGTGACCACACACTATATGTGTTGCCTTATAGGCATGGATGTGATTCTCTGGACAGCAGTAGGATAGGCCACAGCCCAGTCAGAGGAAGAAGACAGCTAACAACTTCATGCCATGCCTGCCTATTTGGTAAGTCAGCTATTGCTCTTTTTTAAAAGAAATTCTGCTATGACAAAACTTAACTTCTTGATATGGATAGTAGGTAGGTAAATGCAAAAAGATATGTGAGCATCAGTATAACTAGGTTTCACATAATGTTGCTAGATTTATTTGCTTTGGGATGATTTGTTGAGCCTTTTTGGAAGTGTGCAGTCTGTGCAAGGTCTTATGAGTTGCTGAGGCTGAGTTTCCAGAGTGCATTTAAAAATGCCAAGACTGACATTTGGAATTGTTTGACCAGCTTTTGATTTCTCCTCTGTTTAACTTTTGCTGACTCAGCTGTGGTTGTGTGAGTGATGTATGTGATGTATGTCAGTATACAATCAAACGCAAATCAACACAGGAGCACATAGTTCTCCTGATTGTTGTCCTGACTAGAGCTTTTCAGCATACATTTTGGTCTTGTTCTACTGGACCAATATTTTCATTCTGTTCTCTTTTTTCCTGCCTGAATTATAAGTTAATCATTTTAAGCACAATTTTTAGCTTAAAAATTATCTGGAAACATAACAACAAACCTGACAGAAATGGGAACACCCACAAGAAATTAACTTTTTGTCTATGTCTGCATCTGGCTGCTTCTAGCTTGGCTGGCTGGCTTTTGCTAACTAACTGCAGGCTGGCTGTTACCCTAGAATATCAATGAGACTTTCTAGCTTCTTCTCTTTGGCCTGAACTATGTTGTTGAGCACCCCAGGGATGTGTTTAAAGATATTGAAGACCTTTGTTCTCTTTCCTGAAAACCTGAAGGGCTTTTCTGAGTTAATGGTTAAGTAAAAAATGCTTTTCCTATGAGATTTTTAAAATAATGTTTTCCATTGCCTCTTTCCCCAATCTTTCTTCAAGTTCATTGGCCAGCATTCAGCTTTTCTCATGGCCCTGGGCTTTAAAATAAGGCAGTAAGGATCTGGCTCCAAGTTCTCATTCTCTCCTGGAACCACAGCATGCAACATGTTTTAAGTCTGATTACGATGAAATACTGAAACTGTTTCGAGGCTTGTTCTGTTGGAATGTTTCAAGTGGGGCTGTTTGTTCCAGGCTCGAAACAAAGCATGTTTTCCATTTCATGTACACCCTGCGAAGCTTTTGTAGGTCTCTGCAATTCTGATATTCTCCAGGTCATAAGAATCTATTTAGCTGCAAAACAGGCAACTATGACTGTAAAATTAAACTTTGGAGACTATCAATATCACAGAAAGTCCCCTTAAATGTGTTCAAATATAATTTATAGAATTTTTCTGCCTTTTCTTTTTCATCACCTGCTGAAATGAAGTCAAACTATTTACAATGAATGCAGGACATATTTCAAACAATCCAAGGAAGATCATATTACAGAATGTTTTTAATTAGAACAGAACACAGATGGATTCATACTCTACAATGCTTCACTACACATCCCTTGTGTATATACTATCTATTTTACCTGAAGAAATCATATCCTTTCTTCATGTACTTGGTTTGCCTTTCAGTTTGTATTGGTGAAAGAATGAAAGGAATAACAATTGGGGAATTAATGTAAATGTGGAATGTAAGCAGAATTCTCAGACAAGGATTTCTTATTACAGCAGTATTCAAAACAGATCAGAATCTAGTACTACAGAATGGCCTTAAACATTGTTTGCTTACCCTTTCCATGGAATCATCAACTGACAGCAGAGTTTGAAGTCTTTTGCGTTGCAAGATATTTGTAAATTCCATATGTATGGGAAGCATAGGCCCTGTATATTGCATGATCCAATGCTTATCTAAATTGGGTGCGTAGTTATAACTAGGAGTTCTGGGGGGGAAGATAATATAGATTAAGCTCCAATAGAGAATATCTGTAGCTCAGGGTTGAACTGTGGAGTTCTCGGTGATCTCTGAGCTTGGTTGTTTTCTTGCAGATGTTTCATTACCCTACTAGGTAACATTATTAGGGCCAGGCTGACTGATGATGTGACCTAGTTAGCTAATGAAACATCTGCAAGCAAACAACCAAGCTCAGAGAGCAGGAAGAACTCCATAGATTAAGCTATTCGTAGTTTCTGATACAATATCTATACCTTTTGCTATAAGTTATGTAATGCACATCTTACATTCTGGAGAAAAAAATATACATTATTCTGAGATCCAAATACACTTGTTCTGGCACAGCTCCATTGATTTCAACTGAATTGTGCCAACAACAACTTATTTGGGATTCCAGCCAGACTGTACATTATTTTGAATAATTCTTCTTCTGTGGTTTTCCTACTGATTTGTTTCATAACCAGGGCAGCTGAAGCTATATTGTTGCATGTTGCCATATTACTTTTGGCTAAGTAGCCACACCATGTGTAATTAAATGCATTTTGTATATATTGCAAACATTGATAATATCTTGTAAAGAATATTATTAGTCTAAATAATTACAGTGCCAAATATATTTTACATTTAAAACATTATAAATACCAAATATGAAGAATGCACATTAAAAAAAAACAAAAAACATCCAAATGTTTTAAGTAACAGAGGCAATATGCTCCCAAGAAGCAACTTGATCAGGGATGCGAGTGTTGTTCTGTGTGACTCCTGAGGCCTAAGCTAATCTCTTACTCAGAAGCCATAGAGTAGTGTTTTTCAACCTTGGCAACTTTAAGATGTGTGGACTTCAACTCCCAGAATTCCCCAGGCAGCATGCTTTCAACTTGCAGGCTTGTTGGCTGCTCCACAGCAAGTTTTTTACTATTTCCATTGACTAATTTCTGAAAATTAACACTTTAAAAATTAATAGAGAAGTAAACTGCTTTACTACATCTGTATCACTATCATCAGCACTAGAAAAATTAAGAATAAAAACTGTTTCCCTTATGTAATAGCAAAAGGAAAATTTCCTACTGATACGAGAATGTCATGTAATAAAAAATTGCTTAATTAACAGATTTTTTCATTCTTAATTAACAGACACTGTATCATAGTTCTTTAGCAGTATTGATAACTTTTCATCTAACTTTGCCAAGCTATCAAGCAACATTCTTAACATTCTGCAAGTCCCTCAAGACCTGGCTATGTTTTCAGGCCTGGGGGTCCCAGGAGACCAGGGCGATTTTGCGATGGCTCCTTTATTGTAGTTAATATCGTCCTCTCTTGTTTTGTGTGCTTTTTATAGTTTATAATTTTTAATTATGACTGTTTTATATGTATGTATTGGTCTCTTCTTAATTAAGTGTTGTACACTGCCCAGAGTCACTCTCTTGTGAGATGGGCAGCTATACAAATATGGCAAATAAGTAAATACAATTGTTCTCTCCATTCTTTGCTGCAGACAGCTCCTATGGTTACACCGCATCACAATTTCTGCCTCTCAAAAAAATAAAAAGGAAACTAAGCATGGATGTGCCATGCCACTCCCTGCGGCATTATTATCCTGATTTCCATATAATTTTTCTGATTGGAGTCAGAAAAAAGTGTTTATCTTCTGTATTGGTTATTGGGGAGTCTGCTGGATGTTTGGATTCAGCTGCCCCATTCTCCCCTAAGACAATAGCTGCAGCCATGGTCAAGAAGGATGTTATGTCTCTTCTCATTATGGCATGAGGGAATATAACACTTACTAAAACTACTGTTTGTGCTATAATATTTGATTGGGTGTTGCTGAAAACAGAATGACCCAAGTCGAAGATTTTAAAGTCCACTGATACAGCCATAACTGGATTATTGAAGGTTAATATCCTTCAGGCCAAAATAATGTCTTTTGAATCTCAGTCTCACCAGTGCAACTTACACATGGTGGAGTATTAGCTCTGCCGGAAGATTATCAGCTAGAAACTGAGAGGGCTGGTTGCATTCCACCTTTCCTTTTTGTATAGCTGATAAGCCTTTGCCATTTATTGTGAAATTTCTCACACTGACTGAATTCCATATTATCTTCTTTCCAAACTGCAGTAAGAAGGTGTAAGAATGTAGGAAGGTGTTTTCCAGAGCAAAAAATATGATTTGTAAGAAGAATTTTAATATTATATTGAACTTTCAGCCATTTTTGTTATCAGACCAGCTAATGGTATCCAGAAATCTTTCCATATTCCTGTGGAAGCAGGAAAAAAAACCCCTTCTTTAAGTTCCACTACTAAAGTCTTGTTAATAGATTGAAAAATTTCTCTTTTTTTCTACAGTGCTTATTTCTAACTCCACATTATCAAGTTTTTTCTCTCTAATTCCTGATCAGGCATTTCTTTGTTCTGCACATTTGCCCTTTAGTCTTTTTTGCAGTTGTGATTTATTTTTTCTTCCTTGCTCTCTTCCTTTTTCTTAATCTGGCTTTCCTCAAGATATGTATCAGTACGTGATTCAGCGGCAAATAAACTGTTTATTTTCATTTCTTCTCCTGTTCAGTTTGTGTAAAATTAATAATAGCAGTAATGCAAGTTTGTTAATGTGTTTAGGGGATATCAGAGATGCTTCAGAACAAGTTTAATTATGGTACATCTTGAACCATTTTTAATTTTTTTTCTCATGGAGGTGCTGTGCTTGCATACTTACAATAGATATGATGTAAATTATTTTCAAGTCCTTTGCTTCTTATCTTAATTATTCCTTCTGGTAGTTTCCTTTATAACATTGAACTTTAAGGGTCAGGATGATATTTCCTTATATGAAAAGAACCTCTTACAAGCAATAAATAGGTCATACAGAAAGTTTAGGTGAGGGAATTATATACATGAGGCAATTCTGAATGTGCAAGAAATGTTTCAACATTGATAGTAGATTTACTAATTGGATTGTTGAAGGGAAAAACAAGGTGAACATGTATTTATATATTTATTTACAAGGTGTATATGCTGATCTGAGTGGCTTACAGGCCTCCAGTCGGTACTAAGATTAAAAAAAAATATAATAGAATAGTGTAAATTAAATAAAAACCTTCCTCTCTCCCTTCCAATTTGGTTTCAGAACATCCTGCCACTTAGAAATTCTGAAAACATTAGATGGATGGCAGCTGATGAACAATTACAAGACTCTGCGGTGTACAGATGATATGTTACATTTCTTACATATACCAGAAACCTCATTTTGCCAGTACATCAGTTTGGTATCCTACCTGGTTACTCTATGAATTGCATTAAATCATACTAAATGTCATTAGGTCTCAGTAAAAATATTGATATTTAGGGTTGTATTCTGATTCCTTTTTTTATCTTGCTATAAAAATCCCAAGGAAGTTTTGTCAACAGGTCAATTTAAATTTGTCTCCAACTTCTGCACAAGCAAAAGAATATCTAGATCTGAGAATTGGGTGTGAAATTAATGGTATTAAAATCAATTTAATTCCAAGGTGATTTATATTTTAAAAGATCTTTCTATTTATATTCCTTCATATTATTTAATAGTGTTTAATAGCCTATCACATCTTTTAAAACAACACTCTCTAGTATCCTTTAAGATTTTCACTCTGTTAGGATTCAATTGTCTGTTGGGAAAAATCATTTTCAGGCCTATCCCTGGGCATTTATTCCAGCTCTGGGCACTGCTTGGAATAAGGAATTGCAAAATTCAATTCCTCTTGGGACTCAGCTTGAAAGCTACTATTTGACCTCAGTAAAATTTGGATAAATATTAAGATTCTTCTTTGATTATCAGTTTCATACTTGCACTTAATACTGCAAAGTAATGTGGAAAATACTGGACTATGGCTAAAATTTTGAAAATCTTATCCATGAACCATTCATACTTCTTTCCCCAACATAGTAACAAGGAACAAAACTTTTAACAATTTAGTCAATTTTTATATTCCTTTTGTACATAATATAATTTTTCTGGCCTTTCTCCTCTTTTGTCTTTCTTTTATTTTAATATTACTTCCCATTGTTAACATTATATGAATACAATTGTTAGTCTGACATATTAAAAACAAACCAAAAAAGAAAAGTCAGCAGCTTAAACTTAAACCCATCACCCGGAAAAAAAAAGGGGTGTCAAAATATGTTTGACCACCAAAAGAGAAGAATCCTCAATAGTTAAGTATTCAAACAATGCCACCTCTTACAGAATGATTGTATTGCTCTTGCCATTATTTTCATGAGCTGTGCCAAAGGAAAAAGTCAGTGAGACATTGGACTTTTTCCCTTTTATTATCTGGCCATGATAAGCTGGCAGCAAACTAAGCTGTAGAAACAATTCCTTTAGCAGCCTATTCATGTAAACTGTCAGTTTATCTTCCATTTCTTCTTTTACTTTCTCCGAATGAGCTCTTACTCTGTTTAGTCTTTCAGTACTAAAACAATTTTTTCTATTGTTTCCTGCAGCAGCCACTGAATAAAGGATGCATAATACTCCCAGAATTTCAAGACAACTGGACTGGGAGGAAATAGAGATTTCCGATTTGTGCTTTCAGACGTTTCATAATCAGTTAAACACAAATTGCTTTGGCTTCAAATATTTCATATTTGCTGGAAGACAAACTGAGGTTAACAAAAGTTTCCAGGGTTACCAAGCTCAACTGTTAATATCATATAGTGTTCAGTGCAGACAAAACGTTTCTCAGTCTCCTAATGCAGGAGAGTGGAAGTGGCTGCTAAGTTCAATGCTCAATAGCCGCCTTGGATCATTTTAAAGTGTGCACAGACTACCACATGCAACATGGGGGCAAGCGTGAGGACAAATGCTTTAACTTTGCTTTGCCCTCCATCATTTCCAACAGGTAACAGGCCACTCACTGCAAAAGAGGGCTTCCTTTGTCTATGAAGACCTTTCATTTAATTGGAAACCCTGGTCAATCAGAGCTCTCAACTGTGCAGACAGCCTCCACAGAGAGTGGAGTCTCTCAGCTGCAGACACCCCCTCCCCCACATGTAGAGGGCGATGGGAACAGTACAGCTTACATGCTTTAAAAATGATTAAATAGGGCTATTACTTGGCCTTAGTTTCAACCACTCTATGAAATCTGCTTCTAATTAAATTTTCAGAACACAGCCATGTCTGAGAGGCTCCAGGCAAGTCCTCCCTCCCCTTCCTCACCTCCCCTGCCTCATCCTGCTATCCTGTCTGCTATCCTGTTTATTTTTGGGGTGGGGGAAGGGATGTTAGCTGCTGGAGTGATAATACATACTTTTTAGAAAGTCAACCTTTCAGCATTTCAAAAGCAAGTGCTCTGCCTAAATAGAGAAGTCTGCTATTCCAGTGGTGGTGATCAAGGACTCCCTACTAAGAGAGACCCTAGAAGCAAAATCTGTTGGCCCAACAGTCTGTCAAGGGGAGTGTGACACAGTTTCCCACAAAAACAATAGAGAAGATAGCAAAATGCAGACTGGATTTTGCTCCCAAGAGATGGATACAGAGCTAATTACAATCATAAACCCCAGTGTGTCTACACGAGTGTCTCTCAGTCAGGTGGGAAGAGGTGTTGAATGCCAAAAGGCAAAGCTCTGTCCTAGGCCGTGTACTGTTAATATATTTATAAATGACTTGGATGAGGCCTTAGAAAATATAATAATATTTGTGGATGACACAAACACAGGGCAGATAGCAAACCTTTACAAATAGTTTCAGAACTCAGGAGGATATTGACAAACTGGAGCAATAGGCAGAGAGCAACAAGATTAATTTTAATAGGAGGAAATCTAAAGTACTTCATTTGGAAAGGAAAAATCAAAGGCATGCATGTAGGATGGGACGACCATATTGGGAAGCAATATATCCCGAAAGAATCTGGGTGTCTTGGTGGATCACAATTTTAACATGAGCCGACAGTGTGATGCAGATGCAAATAAAGCAAATTTGCATTGCCTTTAAGGGAAAACACTGACAAACTGGAGCATGTCCAAAGGAGAACAACTAGGATGATAAGAGACCTGGAAGAAAAACCTTATGAAGAAACAGTTGGAGAACAGTTGGAGGAGTTGTAAATGTTTAGTTTGGAGAAGATTGTGGGGAAATTTGCTAGCTGTTTTCAAAAATCCAAAGGACTCTAATGTAGAAAATGGAATAGTTAGGAAACAGATTTTGATTGGATATCAGGAAATATTTTTTAATGGTAACATTTGTTAAACAATGGAACAGATTGCTTCAGGAGATAGTGGACTCTCTTTTATGGGAGATATTTAAACAGACGGCCATCTGTCAGGGATGCTATAGTAGTAATTTCCTGCATTGGAAAGGGAGTTGGGCTAGATAATCTCCATGTCTCTTTCTAACCCAGTGTTTCTCAACCTTGGCAACTTTAAGATGGCTGGACTTTAACTCCCAGAGTTGAAATCCACACATCTTAAAGTTGCCAAAGTTGAGAAACACTGTTCTAACCATTCTGTTCCATGATTGGTTCAGCTTGCTCAGCCTGGGAAACTTGTGTATTTTAAAATTATGTTTGCCTGCAACTTCAACCAATCAGTCAGCCATCATGACATTTATGTACTGCTTATCTGTTAGCCATTTGGGGTCTCAGAATAGGGGGAAAAAATTGTTTGGGAGTTGAAATGTCCCCATTTCAAGCACAAAAATTTTGAAAGTATTTCAAGTTTGAAATAGAACTGTTCTAAACTATAGACAGTTTCAAAACTACCCAAAGGAGATGTTTTGCACCTGAAATATCATTCAAAAATGAGGAATTTTACAAAGTTTCACTTAGAACAGTTCAAAATGAAGCATTTCACACACTCTTAAGAACTGTGTCCTTTTATCCCGACTTAATGGTGCTACTACAAGGTTTCAAATTTTGGTCTGAATTTATGGCACCAATTAAGACATCAAGCAAGACGAGGGGTGGGGGGAGGAAAAAGTATAGATGTCAAAAATATTGCATATATATAAATACCCAACATATTTCTTTGGTGGCAGTTGTTGTTTTAAAATGGTGAAATAAACTGGCTTTATTTCTTGTGCAACAGTGGTTGTATTTATCTCAGGCCTAGTTTATACATACAGCATAATCAGGGGAAAATCTGAAATAATACCATTTTAGGCTGCAGACGTGTCTATCACATTTTAAACACATCTATGAGTACAAGTACATCATGGAAAAAGGTTGCTGTTATATTAATTAATACCCATATCGCTTCTTAGCCTTTTGGCTAAGATCGAGTGTAATTCATACCAATTCTGTAGGTGGTACTTAGTGATATTTTAAAAAGAGAAAGCATTCAAATACGTGATTCTTCATCTACACCCTGAATGGGTACAATCCACTACCCAACACCAAGACTTCATCTGTTTCTCTTTCATCAAGCTTTAGTGCAAACATAATAATATCAATTGTATAGAAAGGAGGCAAAAAATTCATGGAGAAAAATGGGAAGGAATGCGTGCAACCCCAAGGGGAAAAAAGGAACGGTGGAAGAAAAAGGTGTTCTACCTCCTTCACACCATGTGAAAAAGCCAAAATGACAACTCAGCCTTTCACACTAACAAAACTGTTTACGACTTCCCCGAAACAAAAGAGTAAATATTATGATTATTGAAAAGGTAGGAAATATAGGACCCCTGTGTAAGTATGAAATATTCTAGAACAGTGAAGCCTCAAAGAATTAAAGCAGGGCAAGGAGGTGACTGACTGATGCTACACAGGGCATCAACTCTCCGTTTCATTACAGCGCCCGAAAAGGGCAGTTAGCAGTGGCTAGTTACTTATCAAAGAGGCAGACACCCTTACTAGACATAATTTATAAATACTGTATATTTATTCCTAGGTTATCCAGAATTGTTCTGTGCAGGATTTGAAGAATCCCTGTCTTCAGACTAATCAACATTAGACTTTAAACCAGGGTGGTTGAGGTGGCAAACCACCAGCAGGATCACAGTATAAAGTTTCACTTACATGTGCTGAGAAGCATTTGGATACAGCTCAGAGAACTGTGGTGCAGAATCTTCTGGGCCGTGGGGAGCTGCATGGCTGATTACCATCAATATGGGTCTATGGGGATACGTCCTCTTAGACATTTTGAAATAATTAATGCTGTCATTAGTGATTAAATCTGTGAAATAGTCCTGAAACAAACATTCAATATAAACAACAATTTGCCAACTATATCCAATACCACAAGGTCATATTACAGTAGCTTAGTCTGAATGGATTTCAACTATCTAGTTTTAGAGGCTGGGCCCAGTTCTCAGGTCAAATATACAATATGGTTACAAAATCATCTTCACCCAAATGAATGGCTGCATTCCAATAGGTGTATTTGTTTAGTAGGGAGGAGGAATAACGCCTTTTAAGGTGGAAGACAAAGGCTTAGAAATATTTAAATCAGGCACTCAAGCTCAGTCACTGTGGCCTCTTTGCTATAATTGTAAGGAAAAAAGAACACTGGCATTTCTAAAGAACCCAACTCTGCTCATTTTAGAACAGTGCAGCTACTAATATCAAAATCCTATCATACCAGTTAAGCAGCTTAATATATATCCAATGTAGTAAAATGAAAACACACACACACACACACACAGGGAGGGGGGAGCTTTTTAAAAGTGGAAACTCAATAATTAAACTATCTGCCATCTCTAGGTTTGTGGGGTTTTTGATCAAATAACTGGCATGAACTCCAGTGAGGAATTCCAAGGTAACATGGACACACAATTTCAACCCTTTCCAGACATGACTAATCGACCAGATGATGTGGACTCGGCCACGAACAGCTGCAAAAACAGCACTGAAAAAAGGTGCAGCATTTTCTTTCACATAAAAAATGTGAGGGAAGCCCAAACAGCTGCGAACACTTTGACCTCATTCTAGGACTGCTCCTCAAACTCCCAACTCCAAAAGTATTTTGGAGAGGCATGTGAAAGAGTACGAAAGATAAATTTCACTGACAGCACTTTTGACCATGTTTTTCCATTAAGCCTTCCTCACCAAAACTTCTATTATGAGTGAAAGACTTCCTGGAGAAAAGGTGCTCTCTGAAGGAGGAAATTTTTCCCAAACTTCAAATGCCTTGCTGTAGCAAATTATTATAAATAACATAGACAGTACTAGAAACCAGAAACTTTTGTGTATTATCTCCCCCCAAAAAGGTAAAAGATAATTGCTTTTCATGAGAGACAAAGTGTGTCTGTGTAATTTTGTGTGTGCGCGCACGTTTGTGTGTTGCCACAGTCAAGTTTCCAGGATTTAGTATCTTTCATAGTCTCTACTTCATAACCAGAAATCAATAGTATTAACTGAGAAAAAAAAAATCCTTTACCTTCTATGAACATATGTGAAAAAAAGTTCTGACCACACAGCCAACACAAAAAAATTAGGAGTACTGTTACAATAAAGTGATTTTAAAATATCATTCTTTCTAACAAGAAAATAATAGGTTTTACCGGTGTACATCACAAGACAAGTGTGATTCTTCCATACCTTTGCATATTCAAATCCATGCTTCTCTTTAAGGCCATTGCGACAAACAGTGTAATTATAGAAGCGAGAGTTTTTGATTAATCCAACCCATTCTCGCCAGCCAGGAGGGATATAGCTGCCATTGTATTCATTGAGGTATTTTCCAAAAAAAGCTGTGAAAGAAAAAGAAGGCACGTTCAAGGGCACTTGGTGAACAGTGATGTATTATGAAGTAAGGAAAGAGCTAGCTGGCTTACAGCAAGGGTTGGTGACCTAAAGGCCCAGATCTGTGCACAGCCCTCAATGTTGTGGCAATTGGAGTTTTTTCCTACTACAATGACCAAGAATTGATGGCACATTCTTCATCATTTTGAAGCAGAAATGCACAAAATGGAGAAATACAGAAAATCCTAACCCCACAAATATGCATTCTTAACCCCTCCCCTTTTGCATTATCAGTCAACCCCAGTCCTTGATTCGTCAAAAAAAAAAAAAAAGTTAAGGCTTGCCTAATGTTACACTTAAGATAGTTCTTGCTGCCATATTCAGTGCAACAAGAACAACAACAACAACTGGCAGTGGTGAATGCATTCTTGAGATGGGGTGGTTCTGCCAGCCCTTAAAAAATTGTGGTCAATCCCTTCTTCAAGAAACCATTGCTGGATTCAATAATATTGCACATAATTTTTGTCCTGTCTCCAACCTTCCATTTTTAGAGAACATGGTTGGTTTGCAGCTTCAGAAAGCCTGCAAGAAATGAATTATCTGGACCCTTTTCAGTCAGGTTTAGGATGGGATAGAGTACTTAGATGACACTGATCATACTTGTTGATGATCTCCGGTGAGTGGTGTGATGCATCCCTTCTGACCCTCCTTATACTCTTAGTGCCCTTCAATACCATCAATCCGTCTAGACTGACTTGGGATTGGGAACATGGGGTTGCGGTCCTTCTCTTATCTCCAGGGCCAGTTTCAGTCTGTATTGGTAGAACTGGAGAGATCTAGCCCTCAACTCCTAGTTTGTGGGGGTCCCTCAGGACTCTATACTCTCTCTGCTTCTATTTAACATCTATGCAAAGCCGCTGGATGTGGCCATCCATCTGCGTAAGGTTAAGTATCATCACTATGTTGATGATACTCAATTATACATATCTACCCTAGGGCAAGTAAGTGATGTTGTCAAGGTCCTTTCTCAGTGTCTGGAGTCGGGCGGGGGGGGGGGGGGGGG